CCACCATCTTAACAGAATGCCTCAAAATTGCGCAGGTACCATTTGTAGACCTTGACTGTAGTGAGTTGTTCAAACCGTGGAGAACAGTGGTGTGGTGCAACCCGGTGCATAGTTTGGCGGAGAGAGGTACTTTCAGATTAAATATCTCAAGACAAACGTACTGAGGCCACAGTTGAAATCCCAACCACACTCAGATGATTTAAGATGGCTCGAAACAGTTTCCAGCACTTTCCAAGAAGTAGATTTTGATGGGTCATTATAACCACTCTATATCGGTTGACGCCAAACTCATGGTATCAAAATAACTGCCCAACCATTGGTGAGAATGTTGCTGGTGATATTGTGGCAGAATAGTTTACCATCGCAGCAATATGACCGGAAATCCCCCTTAATTTTAGCTTTAAGCTCTTATAACTCAAAAACGAGCTCCGTGACCCCCATTTTTTATTATCGAATATTTTGATAAGCATGATAGGATGCAACGTTTTGTAAAGTTTAAATAAGTTCTGTGGGATAGGTTCAGAGCCACCTTAACATATCGAAACTTTTAAGGTGGTTCTGAACCTACTCCACAGAATTTTTTTAACTCTGAAAAAAGTTGTATCCTACCATGTTCATCAAAAATAAAAAAGTGGGGGTCACCGAGCTTGTTTTGGAGTTATAAGGGCTTAAAGCTTAACTTAAGGGTGGTTTTAGCAGGTCATATTGTTGCTATGGTAACCTATTATATAAAAAAAGATGACAGCAACTGGCTTACCAATGATTGGGCATCACTTGTTAAACACTGGTAGTCTTCATCTCTCAAAGTGTAGTTGTTAGAAAAGTGCTGGAAACTTTTGCCGGTCTCCTTAATGTACTGCAGCTACCTATTAGGCCATCCCTTTTCCTACGTGCTTTCCAATGCAGGTAACTTTTAAAATCTCTTTGATGTTTAGTGAACAGATTCGAGGCTTTCAGTAAACGCACCCTAGGCTTTACCATTGTTGGTGGTCCATTTTTTGTGCCGTCAACCATTTTAAACTATG